ACCCTCCGCCGTCTCCACCTTCCCGGCGGCGTCCACCTTCCCCGCCGTCTCCACCTTCTCGGTGGCGTCCACCTTCCCCGCCGCCTCCACCTTCCCCGCCGCCTCCACCTTCCCCTCCACCTTCGCCTCCGCCTCCACCTTCCTCTCCGCCTTCTCCGCGGTCTCCGCCGTCTCCGCCTCCTCTACCTCCTCCGCCTCCACTGGCGGCAGCTCCTCCCCCTGCTCGCAGGGCTCGAGCGGCCACTGGGCGTGGCGGCGCGGGGGCCACGCAGACCTGGGGTGTCCCCCGCCCGGCCTGAGGGAGCGCGGTGGCTGTGGCAGCTGGACCCAAAAGGGACTTTCACTGAAGGAGGCGGCGGCGGAAGCAGGCGACGCCCCCGGGAATCCTCCCGCCGAAGCCCCCTAGTGGAGGCTGCTTCTGCAGCCAGGCCCCGTTTCCTTTAATTCAGTATTTCCCAAACTTGCTTGTTCATGAGAATCACGTGGGAGCGTGTTAAAATTACAGATTCCTCGGCTCCACCCGCAGGCCTACTGAATCAGAATCTCGAAGGGAGGTACTCCGGAACCTGTATCTCTAACTAGGGCCCCAGAGGCTGCTTATGATCAGGCAAGTTTGGGAAACACAGCTCTAATTCATTGAGGCTGGCGGGAAGGGGGGCGGGGACCGCGCAGTCTCTTTAAGGCGCTTCCAGCTCTCGGCTCCAATCGCTGCTCTGACCCCCTTCATCGTCTCCTCCCCTCTCCTCGTCCTTCCCCTCGTCCGTACAGGCTTCTCCTAGCCACTGCGGGGCTGGGGGCCGAGCGGGTGCCAAGTCCAGAAATGGTTTTGAGGCTGTGAAATGTCCCCTCTGAGGGGGGTCCTGGGGAGCGCAGGCAGAAGCCGTGACAGGCCATCATTTCGGCGGCAGAGCCTGCCTCTAGCCCCGTCCCAGTCTCCCCTCCCACGCCAGGTCCTGCCCTTCCCGAAAAGGATGAAGCTCCAGCTGCAGTTCTGGGGAGGCCTGGACCCCAGCTCCGGAGGGGCCGGGCTACTAAGGCCGCTGGGCCTGGAGAGGCGTGTCCCTGGCCCATCTTATCAGCGCTCTGCAGGGTCTGGGCCTGCTGCTCGTGTCCTCCTGGGCTCCCAAGGCCACGGGTGGGTTGATGGCGTGACAGCCGGCCTCCTGGCCCAGCAGACGCTGAACAGCCCGAGGGCACAATCCAGCTCTTCTCTCCAAGGCCAGCTGGAGAGACGAGGCACGACAAGGCCATCCCTACAGCTAGCACTTCCCCTATAGCTGAGAGGGGGCCTAAACTACAGGACACAGTCCCAAGACCCTTAAACCCTGGCAGCGTCCCGGAGTGGGCAGCAGGTGGAAGTGGCAAGAAGCCTGTGGAGCTACCAGCAGGGAGAGGGGGTCGGACATGGCACTGAAGGGCCTCTGGGAACCCCTGTGCCAAGGGGCTGCTGGCACTGGGCAGCAGCACCCCAAATCCCACGAGGAGTGTGCCCAGAGCAAGTGGCTCAGACCTTGGGCATGGCTCAGGGGTGTCGGGCTGTAGCTGCTGGTCCCAGACAGTGCAGCCCAGGGCAGGCATCAGGACATGGGTTGGAGGAGAAAGAGTGTTCTAGGAAGAGTCCAGTCCCCGAGTGCTGGTGGTGGCTGACCGTAGCTGTCTGGCTTGTGCAGCTGTGCTGCCTGACTGTACATACCCTAGCAACATTCTCCTTGCTCAGCACTGGACATCAGCTCTCCACCTGGCTCCTTCCTCCAGGGAAGGGACAGGGAGGCCTCCTAGGATTAGCAGCAGGAGTTGGTCCTCAGGAATCAGGAGCCCTTGAAAGGAGGATGCCTGGTTTCCATACAACTGAGGGTCACCCTGGGCCCTGCCCTTCCTGAGTCAGCTCTTGCTTCAATTCCTTGAAGCACCCCAGCATTCTTTCAATAAGTGCCTGCCCTTTGTGGCCTGCAACCAGAGGAACTGCAACTAGCACACTCACTGAAGGAATTCTGCTGCTGCTGCTGCTGTTCCTGCTGCTGCTGCTGCTAAAAACAACCGAGGTCATGGATGAGGGGATGGAGGATACTCTCATCCCACCTCCAGACAGACAACAAAAAGACCTAAAGATCTCTGTGTACCTGGGACTGTCTACCATTGAAGATTAGCCATGGTAACTTGTTGACTTAGTGATCAACTTCCTGCAGAAGCCCATAGGTCCACCTGGACTCTGCCCAGGCCCGTGTGTTCTGAAAAATGGAGGGCTGTGTCACCATTCACTCAACAAATGTTTATTCTGCACTGATCCAGGGCCAGAGGTACTAAGAGCTGTGGACACAGCACTCCAACCTACCCCAGGGCTACTGAAATCAGGGATGGCTTCCCCAAAAGGCACACTAAGGAAAGTCTGTGTGACTAGCAGAGAAGAGGCATCAAAAACAAAAAATCAAAAAAGAAAAAATACCACAAACAGTTTGACATTTGATTTTTTTTTAAGTAGTCCTCGTGGGAAAAATCAGAACTTTGTTGTACTTCCTTACGTTCATTTCCTGATTACATGATGCTTTTGTTTTGAATCACGTGTGGAGGGTGTCACCAGAATCTTTAGATGCTTTGTCCTTATGTGGATCTGGACCCAGATCCTGGCAAATGTTACCATCTCTGCCTCACAAAGTTCTGACAGAATGCAGGCAGTAGGGGCTATCCTTAGGAGAGACAGCTCTCCTTCGCAGTAGATGCACCTGGGTGATAAATCCAACTCTGACCACAAGGTGGCAAAAGAGTAAGTGACAATTCCTCATATATTTTTTGTATGTTTATATAAAACTATTGGTTTATATAAAATGCTCTCTAAAAATATTAAGAAAAACGTGTGCTCCTTCACACGTTTTTGGGTTGATATCTGACATTTTGCATCATAAATGTCAATTGGCTACAAATAATGTAATTTGTGACAAATGTTAATATTCAAAAATAAAACTGTTATGTCACTATTTCACATGAATCCAGTGAAACCTAAATACCTTAGTGATTTGAGAGCCACCATCATCTGTTTTAAAAATTTATAACTGAGCTCTTCTTTGATACTTGGAAGTTGTACGTTTTCCCTTTTCTCAGCTCTTAATTCCATTCTGTTTTTCCAACAGAATTTTGTCTCAATAATTGTCTATTTTTGCACTTGAAATGTTTTTATTATCCTATAGTATTTCTCTGCAGCAAAAATGCGTATATATTTTTCAATTTCAATGCTTTTTAAATGTTCCTCTGATTATAAGGCTCTAAGTGTTGTTTAAAAATTTGCTCTTGCTTGAATTATTATGACAATTAGAATAAAATGAATCAAAACATTGTGAACATATTACAAATTTTGATAGGTAATTATTAAACATAAACAAAAGTTCATTGTAGATAGGGCTTTTAAAAACATATTAATGGGTGTATCCATGGATAAACATTGGTTTTTGCTAGAATGAGATAGGCTTCAGCATCAATTGTCTTCCTATTTTTTGTTTGGTTAAATGTTAGCACACAGAAACCTCATTTATAGGAATAAGTGAATAGGAATGGACATTTTGTTTTAGCAATGCATGCAAGTCTTTGAATTCCTTTGGAGATATATGGGGGGAAATGACACACTGATTTATCCTCAAAATTATTTCTCATAATTTATCAACTGATAACTTCATAGGTTTTTTCTTCAATTCTACTGGAAACAAAGAATTGGAAACCATCTGAGTTGCAAAAGAATTTGATCCCCATTCATTTGTTAGAGCAAGTTGTTTGTTTACCATCGTCAGCAGTGTTTGGAATTGTCTCTCCTGTGCCCCAAGGATTTTACATCACAGGGCAGTGCACCCAGGTTAAGATTCAGGATGGGTAAAAGATATGCTTTTTCTTTTGTAAAGTGCAAAAAAGACCATTGTGAAAGGGGAGATAGAAAAAGAGAACCAGCTTGATTCCTACACTGCAAGTGTGTTCTCTGGCAGGTCAATTTTAAAAGACTACACAGGAAATTTGAGGATATAGAAATTGATCCCCTTAAAACTCCTGTATTCCAGGGTGATGCACATTCCACTTTAAAAGTTGCTGGTTTATATTTATTATTATAAAAGTAATATATACAATATTTGTGTTTTTTAATAACAAGGTATAGAAGGCATAACATGAAAAGTTAAAGCTCTTCCCTCCCCGACCAATCACACCCATTTTTATTCCCCTGAGATAACTACTTGTTAGCAGTTTCACATTTAGCCTTTAAGAAATTGTCTATCAAATACAAGTATGTTTTATACATGCAGTTGTCCCTCGGTATCCGTGGGAGATTGGTTCCAGGACCCCTGTGGATACCAAAATCCATAGAGATTCAGGTCTCTGATATAAAATATTATGTAGTATTTGCATATAACCTATACACAGCCCCTCATATACTTTGAATCATCTCTAGGTTACTTTGAATTATCTCTAGGTTACTTTTTGTATCATACCTGATACAATGCAGATGCTATGTAAATAGTTCCTGTACTCTACTATTTAGGGCAGTGATCCCCAACCTCTTTGGCACCACCAGGGACCCATTTTGTGGAAGACTTTTTTTT